GGCTGGTGTGTGTCTCCCGGGCTGTGTGCTCCTGCTCCTGCTGTGCTCCTGCACTCTGAAGATGCCGGTCACAGGTGCTGGCGAAACGTTAGGAAACAAAACTTCCAGAACACGGCCACACAGCCCGGAAGACCCACACCTGCCTCAATTTCAGATTGCACATTTTGTTGCAAATCTTTTACCTGACAAGATGCCAGAAATTATCCAAGTTTTCCAGCTTAATTGACTTTGTACTCTTGTAGTACCTCATTCTAGAAGTTAGACTGGCCCCTTGGTGATGGCTTTTCAGAAGCTGGCAGAACTCTTTCAGAAGACTTTTGGGATGCAAAGCTTTGCCATCTCAGTTTGTTTTTCATTATTCCCTCTTATGGAACTTCTTCCCTATTGAGTTTTGGTAAACTACTATAAATTTGGCTCTGGGAAAGAACATTTAGGAAATGTTAGATTTTGGTATCTGCCTCTGTTGATTAGTGGCATTATAATAGATATTGTTAATTATTATTTATTACCTGATTTTTTTTTTTTTTGCATGTGTAAGCTACTTTGAGCTTTTGGGAGTGGCATAGAAATGTTATTAATAACTTTTAGATGTTTTTGTGACTTCATTTTTCTATTGTTACTGTTGGTTTTGATCTTTTTTTAAGTTGCTTTGGCCTCTGTTGTAAAATTTAATTCCCTGCTGTTTTGTTTTTTTTCTTTTCTTATTCTGTAATATTTCTGTTTTTGTATTTCTTACAGTGGATATTTTTAGTGTATTTGTTGTAAGCCACTGGGAGTTGGAATGATTCAGCAGCAAATCATTTAATAAAATTTAATACATGGTAATATTATATCTATCATGGAGAAAATCTGTCTAGGTAGTTGCTAAGCATCAGCCACAACTTGATAGCACATAATCCAATCAAGAGTCACCTAAATTTCCAGCTTAGTAATATTTATTCTCAGAATGTTTGTGAAGCTCCACAGAATGCAACTTGCCAAGGGAAGAAGGGGGTCAAAGTATAACCATTTTTGCTGCTTCAAACCCCATAATTGCATCTTCAGATTCTGTCCAGCTTTGCCAGTGACTCTTTGACTTCCATCACAGGGCAGGGGAGTAATTTGTGGGCATCCCACCATTACCTTAGAATGTTCTCATGTTGTCGATTTCAGGTTTCATCACAAGATAGCCAACTGTTCGTTCCCATTCCTTACCTCATCCTTGTATTTTTACTGTCAGGATATCAACGCATGACGCCTTTTCCCCAGCTGCTGTGACAATGAAGCCACTTGGCTTATAGAAGACATGTGAGAGGAGAATAATTCCTTTTTTTACTTGGATGGCCTTGAAATTGTGTGGGTGGAGAAAAGGTCAAGGAGACTAACTCCTAGGTTGTTATTGTTGTTATGATTTGTGCAATTTATCCACCACCTATCGTGCAATTTATCCACCACCCTTCCTACTTTTTCATGCGTTGCACATGTGATACAATGAAAAAGGAGTGAGACTTCAATTGCATAGTCATAGCTGCCATCTTGACTTTTTTGACACCCCTTCCTGAAGTTCCTCTTGGGCCTCTCATAATGAAATAAAAGCAGGAAATCACACTCTGGCTATGAGAATTTCTCCAAAATGATCTTCTCCTTTGCAAGAAAATTTGAAAGCAACATCCCTTTTATCACATTGAATGGAACCTCCTAGAAAATAAAGCTGGAGACTTAACCCAACACTAGTGACCATGTAATAGTCAACATGTAGATAGAACTCTTTATTTTCAAATAACTTCCAAGGAGAAAAGGCATTCATGCGTTAGGGACAAATGAATCAAATCCTCTTTGAACATTGGAATTGGTCTGGAAAATTAGATTTGGATGTCTGAATCAATTTGGACTGATTCTTCAAACTGGACCTCATTCGATTCAGACAGATTTAAGATGTGAAGCAGCCTGAATAAATCTGAAGCTACAAATCAGTTTGAATGGAGTAGGAAGACTGAATATTCCACAGGACTAGTACTCACAAAGGCTATTATCTCCAGCACTAAAAACAAAATATACTTCTTGATATCAGCTACTAAGGGTGATGGGTTCAGCTTAATCTAAAGAGTCTCATCAGAGTTTGTTGAAAATCTGTTTGTTCAGATTTGTTCAGACCAGAATCTAAGGAGTCTCATCAACTTTTGTTAGGACTGTTTGCAAGTTTCCATCCAGTAATGTCAGCCCTTTGAGGTTGTCTGGACCAGGAAACTGACTCCACAAGAAGAGTAGAGCTAAGCTTGATTGAGATCAGCTGTATTAACAGGATCCTACAAGTCTGATTGTATTATTGCTCCTACCTTCTGAGTCAGGGAGGAGTCAGCTGAGTTTCTTCATAATACTATCTCCTTTCCCAGGATTCAAACAATGCTTCTGCGTTGCCCCCCCCCCCTTTCTTGGAGGGGAGGATAATGACTTCTGAATATTTCCCCTTAAAGCCATCTCATGGCCCTCTCGAGATAAATCTGAGGGCATAAGCTTGTGGGTATGTCCATTTCTGGCAAGAAATCAGCAAGAACAGGAAGTTTTGATCAACATTATCAGGAAGAACCAAGTGTTACATAATGCACTTCTGGTTGCCTTTTGCCTAATTAAAAACAGCATATTAAGTCACCCGTTGGGGGAGATGGGCGGCATACAAGTTTAATAATAAATAAATCATAATTTTTATATGAAGTTCCTGAAATGAATACAATATGAATACAACATTCAATTCCATTTTTGATCTGGAAATCAGGTTAGCAAGCAAGTGTAGAATTCTTGCTGTGGTGGAGAGATATGTTGATGAAATATTGCAGAAGGAAACAGTAACTACTCATTGTATTATTATTAATAATAATAATTACTTATTTTAATTTCATTACCAAGACCGTTATATGGACATGCCCAGTGATGTGTGCTGGAGAAGACTTTCACGAGCCCAATGTAAAATTTGGGGGAAAGGGTCATTATCCAAGCCCCTTGTTCAAAAATTTATTTCAATAGACTGTATGCAGGAATTACCAAATGTTTGGACATCACATTCCCTTTTTAAATTTTTTAGCAGCCTGCACAGTCCGGTCCCATTAAATCCACCCAACGTTTTGTACACAGTGGGTCCCCACCTGTGCACCAGTCATTTCCATCAGCCTGTTCTTGCCCCCCGCCCCATTACATTATTTTGTGAGCAAGCCCCTTCATAACACATGAGTAATAGCATAGCCCAGGATGTGAAAGTTGGTGGGGGCCAAATTTGACTTGGAGATTATTTTACCAAACTCACCTAAACTCTCAGTGTACCTCCTATTTTTGGCCACAAGAGGGTGGCCTACACCTTTAACAATTGTCCTCTTTTTGCTCCCACCAAAAATGAAAATCAGATGTCAATCAAGGGGAAAGAACAGAGTACAATCTCTTGTGGAACTTTCAGGTTCAGAGAATTGCTTTATTCTATTTTCTTTGGGAATGGTCTTCAGAATGAAGCATTTATTTACAGTACATATATTTAAAACATTTATACCCTGTACTCCACCCTGAAAGGTTTCCGCCCTGGATTCCAGAGTCATAAAAACAAGAAAGCCCTTGAAATTTGCAACCTAGTTATCCTTTTCTTTTTTTCTTTCTTTATCTGTATTGTCTCCCACACTTTTTCTTTTATCTTTTTCCCAGCTTTCCTTTATATATCTTTTCATGTTTATCTTTTACTCATGTAAAAATCTTATACAACGTGAGAGAAAAAGATAAAGGAGCAGGAGTGTCCACAGGGTATGATCCCTAAAGTCAAGATGATGGCCACGTCAGTGTGACTGTAGTTCTACCTGTTTTTTATGTGCTTCCCATATAAAACAAGAGGTGGAACTTCAATCACACCATTGTGGTCACCATCTTGACTTCTTTTTTTAAATCACACTCTGCAGACACCCTTGTGTCTGTGGGGGGTGGGGGAGGAAAATGATGGCGAATAAGACTCAATATGAAGTTAGGAGAGTAAATCTGCCCTCACTTTTCATTTCCACTGGGCAGGGCTGCTTTTCTCCATATTAACAACGGCGGGTCTTTAGCAAAAGGTTGATCAAATATCTTTCCCTCTTTGAATCCAGGACCTGTCCCATCTGTTAAGCAATGCAGAATTTGACACCATCAGCCTGGAAAAATCCCAACTAATAGCAGGAGAACTTTTTCCTCCTCTGCTGCTTAGAACCTTCTTCCAGACAAAGGAAGGGATATTTTGAGTATCTTCGCACCTCTACCTCCTGTTTCTGTGAGACAGTGTTAATAAGAGAAGGTGTTTATTAGTCCTGCACAGAATTTTTTCCATTCTTAAACCCACCAACAATTTGCTCTCCGTCTGAAATGTCGTATGAGCAATTGGGGTGTCCACTTCCCTTCCATCTGCAAAAGAAGGCGCTCATTCTTTCAGAAGATTCACTCCTTGTTCAGGCTTCCAAAGACATGCAATTCTGTATTCAACCATCTCGTCTTCTTGTGGACTTACCACTCACTTCCTTAGTGCAAACAATTGTTTCCAACGATTGAGTGGGAACTTCCTTTCTGTTCCTAGTGACTGGAAATAAATGGGTCACGCATGTACAGCACCAGGGAGATCAGACAATATTTGTGTTAAGGAGACATTCATTTCCCCAGGAAGAATTTGGTATTTGGGGCTTGTAGACAAAGGATGCTGAAGTGGTTTGTATGGAGGTGTGGACTATAGATATCCTTCTTGTGC